CCTAATCCAAGATCTATCAAACATTTTAATCATTTGTAGTTTAATTAAAATTAGATTAAGTTGGATTGATGGAATATGGCAACGTAATACAACGCAATACACCAAGAGGAGTGTCTCTCGGGAGGACCTTCTGTGAGAAAATGGCTCCCATTTATCAGTTAAGAAAATCCGGAAAACTTAACGTGACTAACCCATTGGTCAGACCAAACCCGATTAGTATTCAGTAGTTTTATTCATTCGACTATTTGGAACTTATAATTAATCAAGAACTATCTTCTGAAGAAAAAGGCATCGTCTATTTCTATACCATTCGGTGATAGAAACCACCACGATTGCTAAAATTAACATAAAAAATTATATGTCTCTCGAAAATGCATCATCATATCTACAAATTTTTCATTACAAGGTTTTACAAAACTTAATATCCGGTATATTATGGATAAGCTTACAGATAAATATTTACTAATAATATTATGAACAAATATTTAATATAACTAATACCACATTTATGGACGTGCGTGTATNAAATGCATAGGCTAACTGCTATATGTTATATATAGGCCTATAGCCTATATAGGCGCTTATAGCCTTATAGGCCTACTTATAGCCTATTATACGTTTATATTTATGAGTAATTTCGTGCAATAGCGGGTCCAGAAAAATCCAAAGGGACACTAACTTAAAAATTAAAATTATTTGAATAATCATACTGTAAATACATTTTATTAAATGTACAAGATGGACCGATAAACCATATTTGCATTCATAGAAGTTCTTAATAACAATGTTTTGACGTTCTAACAAATAAATTTTGTGCGTTTTATTTTATTTTTTTGTTTTTTTTACCTCTCATTTAAATTATAAAATTGGTATTTAATGTTCAAAGTGTATATTTTTAATAGAGTGTATAAAATAACCAATTAGACACTCAGAAATATTTATCAGAGCAACAAATATCTCAAAGTTTTTGCAACTAATCGGTCTTATTTAAACTTTAATTCATAACTTAAATTATTTTTGCCATTATGTAATTTTTATTCTAATAATTTATACATTTCTTTGTAACGTCCTGGATATTACCATCCCTTGTATAGTGTTAGTCACGGGAAGACAATGGTTTCTATCCTTCATGATGCCTGTACTACTTCGGATTTGTATTGCCTTCAACTTTGCTGTCACATTACATCCTTATAGTGAAGCTGTTACTTTATGTAATTACAGCTGCTATATATTTACTTTAACGTACTGTATGGTTAAAGTTTCTCAACAAATATCGTATTCTCTTTTAACATTATCTCATTTATTCCATCTGCTAGCACATTAGAAGGACCTTCTCTTGACTTTCTTATCCATCTTCTCATTCTCTTCTTCCTTTAATCTAGATCCTCGAGAAGATTCTATTTACTATGATGCATATTCATATTATGGTGAACACTAAAAATATTATATTTGCTATTTATTTTTTAAATTAATTTATAAAATAATAATTTTTAAGTAATTTTAAATTTTAACTTTTAGGAAACGCTTTTGTTAATCGAAGCATAAAAAAACAAGAAAAAATTCATAAATTTTGAAAATTTGTCATAAATTTGCATGAATTTCATATTGATTTAAGAAGAACATTCGAAGGATTTCACTTGTAAAATGGAGAATAATTCCCATCGTTTCTTGGGGAATTGCTTTCATTTCATCTGGACATTGCAATAAATTCATCTTATATATTAAAATTGCATTTATTTGCAATGAAAACAATACAAATTTGAGATGCTATATTCAATATTTTTAAATATATAAATATTTAAATGTAAAATAAAACATAAGAAGTGAGATAATAAGCGGCATATTAATTAAAATTGATTTGACACGGTTTCTTATTTTTATAGATTGTATGCTACTAATATATCTTGTAAATAGATAAATGACTGTTCTACTCAGAAAAATGCACAGTTGTTAATAGAGTTTTCAATGAATTTAGACCTAATTTGACCTTTGAATTTAAAACCTTTCGGTTTGACCTAATTGTGCTTTCTTTTGTAAGTTTAAAATTAATAACATTTCTTTTGAAAAATATAAATATATTTGTGTATGTAAAATATATAATTTCCTATTTTTTCAGTTAAATTACACTAAAATAATACGATATACAAGAATAAAGAATGTTGGATATTAGCGGCATCTACCGAATTGATTTTCAAGTAATATGAAAATTATTTAATAATCAGAAAAAAGTTTTTTCTAATATTCTTATGTAAATTTTAAATTAAACTTGTTAGTAAATATAAATCGCATATTTAAAATTGTCGTATAATAACTTTATATTATCAATAAACTCTTGTAAAAGTTTTTAAGACACAATTTTCAAATTGCAGACCTGTAGATTCCAATTAGCGTCCGTTTGTCTGTCCTTCCTTAATTCGGAGAATGGAGGCAGATACGGAAAGATTAGGAGTAGGAGGCCTGATTAACTATATACGAATATCCGCTTTGGTCCGGAAGCCACATTATTTCAATTCAAACATTTTCTCCAGAATGGAGTTAGATAGATGACTAGCATGACTCTACTGTTAACAGGAAAAGTATAATGTACAGGGGCAAGACACTACTAAAATCAAGAACACGTGTTTTAATAATATATACTCATTGCCATAGAAATTAGCGCACCGTGGAAGAACTTTCAGAATCGAACGAAATTGTACGTGTAAGTGTAATGGTGATATAAGTAATTACAAAATGAAAACAAAAGGATCATTTATTGCAGAAAAACTACAAATGAAAGGAGATTCTAGTACCCTGTTAAGCCACCTCAAGTGTGAATGCACGATGTGATGGGCGAGCATGGAGGCATACAGGTGCTGTATGGTGTCCTGCGGTTCATAATCTCTCTACGTGAATAGTAGAAATGATCACAGAAATTTAGTAAACGTGCTTCAAATATTAAATACAGTAGAGCGTCGTTTATCCGAATCAATTGGGGACTGGGGTTGTTCGGATAACTTATTTTTCGGATAACCAATTATGTACGAAAAAATATATTAATTTATCCCGTGTTGAAATTTTTCTCCGTTGCGTGTCGCTTCGCGTTGAATTTTCGTCGATGTTAAGCCTAACGAAGACTATTGTATCGTTAAAAATTATTTTTTTATTTTGTACAAACGAAATAAATATATTGAAAAATATAAAAACAATAAAAAATTATACTTCAAAACTCAATTTAGTATCAAAAACGTAAAATATTTGAGTAGCCAAAGACATAGCCAATGATTACAGCGCCACAGCACTGGCGAAAATTTAAATTTGTCGACTGGAATTCCTTCGGATAACCGACCTTCGGATAAACGACGCTCTACTATACTAAGAAATAGATAAAATACACATAATAGATCTTTTTGGTTTTGAAACTAAGCGTATACCTAAAACTAAAAGACATTTAAGACTTCAAAATTAAACAATGGCGAAAGTTAAATAAAAATTCAACATTAACCGAAGAGAGATTTGTTGTTTTTATTTAAATATTTGCAAATTACTATGTACAATAATTAATTGAATAGAACTTTGAAAAGTTCAAACGAAAAATATAATCATGAAAATTTTTATCAAGTGTAGTGATCACAACACGACAAATTATACGCCTTTTTAAATCTACGTGCAGTTTTCATTGGAAATTATATTAATCTTTTCTCAGGCAAGGGAGAATTAAATTTCCAAGCCTGCGAAGAATGTACCTGAAAACGTCCATGCATTTCGTCTCGTCCTAAAGAAAGGTTATAAAAGATTTTCGTAAATCAACAATAATGAAAATCATTTTCAAACATATTGTATATGATTGGTAAAATTATATATAACATTTCAGAATTATTTATAGCTAAAATATAATAAATAATTCCAAATTAATAAAACAACTCAAATATACAGTTTTAATAGATGTAAAGATATTAAATATAGTCTAAAACTGAAAATATTTTCTCACTTCTTTTTCTGTTTGTGGCTTGAATTTCTCTTCGACTAAACATTGAGAGCCACCATATTTGATTTCTTCCAAATCAGAAAATTCATTTAGGATTTTGGTTGTGTCTTTTTTGACTTTCTTATTGTTTTCTGGAAAACCAATTATTTTATTTCAATTAAAATTGTTTCTACGTTAAAAATTACAATGCCACCATTAAAAATATTTGACAGATAACATCCGTTTATGCAATTATTTAATTTCTATGTCAACGTGATTTTAATAGTAGTTAAGAAAGATGAATTAATTAATGTTGTTTGACTTTATATATTATGATATTTAAATTGTGGTTGAAACATAAAAAGGCATTTTTCATCAGAAAAATCTCTGTATAAATTATACAAAGTTCTAAAAAGTGTTTTAGTTCAATTTGAATTTTTCATAAATATTTTAAACAATTAAAGCAGCCGTAAAAGACTGAAGACGTGCATATAATATTATGCTTAATAATTATTTTAATGTATTTCATAATTACTTTCATATATAAATATAAGCAATACAATTAAAAACGTTGAGTCGTACAAATGAAGAGAAAATCGAACATAAAATATCATATATTTGTGATCTTACCTTTATCAAACTCTTTTAGTCAGATTGTATCTTTTGCAATATTTTCATTAATATTTGAAACTTTCAAATTCGATGCAAATTCTGTTTTATTAAACTGAATTGTGACAAATTCATTTTCTAATATATTTTTATTTGTATCGGATAATTCTTTAATCAAGTTTTCTTCAAGCATTTTGCTTGGATTATTGAACGAAGAAAATTCATCTACTATGTTTTTACCATCTGAAGCAGATAATTCGTCAAAATTTTCATCCATTTTATTTGTAAAATTTGATTTCGATAATTCTATATGAAGAGGGGTTGGCGTTGGAATGATCGACTCTAATTTACATCTTTCATAAACTGGCGAATGATATTGATCCATTATTATATTTTCTTTCACATTGCAGTTGTCAAATACTTCGTTTCTGTTTATGTTATCAGAAATTCAGTCTTCAATTGACATCGAATCAGACTCCATGTTATCATCAGATGTTTCCGACAGATCATTTTCATATTTGAGCTCGTCCTCTTCATATATGACCTCACTTACTAACGAATTTTCTTCCATCTCCATAAACGCTTCAAATAACGGTCGTAATGTAAAATCTCCATTTACGATTGATGTGATTTGCGTTGGTGAGAGTGCAGTTTTTGACACGTTCTTCTGAAAAAATGAGATTTCGAGTTATTTCTTAAGCATTAAGTGACGCTTACTTTAATAAAAATTTAACAATGTTATTGTAATGATCGAATTGCCAAGCGAATTTAAGAACATTCTTATAGGCACCAACATGCTTATTCCTAAGGGGGGTGATTAAACTTTCCATTAGGAAATCGTTCACATTAATCCATAGTATTAATAAAACATTAAAACGTGATTAACAATAATGTATTTATTGTGATTGTTCTTCCGTTTGCTTAATGAATCATCTCGAGTCTTTGCATATAATTTATTAAGAATCACATTTTGTGTAGTATGAATTGTTAAAAAATGAAAGGGCAATAAAATTATATAACAATAACAAAATAATGTATATCGAATTCCAATAGAATATAAAAATATATTTATAATAATGTTTAATTCTGTAACAACATTGTATTTATCATTGTTCGATAATTAAATGATATGAAAGTTTCAGAAATAATTTAAATACATTTAAACTTACAATGGGAAACTGTTGTGTTTCGTCAAATTCACTAAATATGTCTTCACTTGTGATATTTGTAATAATATTTTCACAGACTTTTGTTTCTTTCTCTTTTGTAAAGTCTTTCTCTGAATTACATTCTGTAGAACTGCTCTGTTCTAAGCGAGTTTCACACATTTGACTTTGATCAGAGTCCTTAATTTCAAACTCAGAAACTAAAGTGTAACAAAACATGAAAAATAATTTAGTAAAACTTAGGAGAATATAAGTTTTATATTGTGATTAAAGAAGAATAAATTTATGAAAAATTAAAATCGTATACATACAAAATGTCTATTAAGTATTCATCAAAGATATGTTAACAATTTTGATGTTTGGATACAGTGGCGGCCTTAGGGGGTGGCGAGCAGGGCAATCGCCCGGGGCCTCGCTCTTGGAGGGGCCTCGCGCAACAACCAAGTAGAAAAAAGTTGATATTTAAAACTTTTTATTTTATCCTTGGCTATTAGTTATAACAATAAAATAAATTTAATTTATAGTACAGTATATATTAATATTAATAAGTGCCTACTATTTCAATTCACATACTTTGCACAAAGGACAAGGGCCTCGCAAAGATCTGCCGCCCAGGGCCTCGCAATGGATAAGGCCGCCGCTGTTTGGATACTACTTTGATAACAAAATTTTTTTGAAATTTCTTTATTCTTTTAAACTAACTAATCAATTCTTTATTGTAATTACATTGAAAAGAAGTACTAAATGAACATAATTTTACGTAACTAAGGAGGAGTCGACACAATGCTTACAATTATCATATAGAGCAGTGGTTCTCAACCTTTTTTGTTGATGTACCCCATTAACCCATTAGTTGTTTCTCAAGTACCCCTTATATTTTTGTATGTAAATTTTATAATAACTGCGTTAGATGTATACAGCTCTTATAACTGAACGTCATAAAAAAACTCCAACCAATATCAAGTAATGCGCGCATGCAGTGACACACATTGCATGGTGGGGTACGATCCAGGCCTCGTTATTCCTAATACCAATAGTCCAGTAAAAACACGAAAAGCCCCGATGTTATCGAGCGAAAATTATAGAATAGAAAAAAAAAATTTACTATTCTAAAATTAATGCTCGGTTAAACCGTAATTTTACTAGACTACAGGTTCACTCGGCACTAACGTACAGGCAAATCGAGTGGATAAACAAGTTGTTTTTTGGACTGTTACAAGGGAAATCGGTGTTCATACTGGGATATTTTAAAGCAAGTTTTTGTTGTTTCTTGTTTGTTTCTTGTGTTATTAATTTACAGCAAATTGATTACCATACGCCATTTTATAATGAAAGTTAGATGTACTCCTTCCATTTACGATTGTACCCCTAGGGGTACAGGTACCCCCGGTTGAGAATCACTGATATAGAGAGATAAGAATGTAAACACTGAGTAAAGTTATGATTACTTAATATCAGTTTGAGCTGTAATCGTCAGACGCATAGTAGTTATACGAATATTTAATAAGTGTACTTTACATATATTCTTTATTTAAGAATCAAATCTGAATTTCTGTCTTTACTTTACATTGAAATTAAATGTATAATTTACTAATTATATGCTTAAAATCACAACGTTAATTTTGTAAAACATAAATCAGTAAGAAGTTCAAAGAATGAAAACAAAGAAACTTTCTAAATTTTGTAGTTTCTGAAGAACTTTATTCTCTCATGAATGACGTTACGATTTCTAGTTAGTTAAATAGCGTAATTTCTTAAACTTTATCTAGCAATCTATAAATATTATACAATTTATTAAAATGGACTTACTATAAGATAACATTTTGATCAATGACTAAAAATGCTGAAATGAAGAAAGAAAGAAGCCTGGCTGTAAAGTCAATTCCGAACATAATTAAAAATTATTTCTAAAAATGTTTAACTTAATATAATTTCTTTCTAAATCTGATTTCTGTCTTTAACTAACATTGCTCATTTAAATGCTAAACAGTGCTAAATACTGCAACTTTTGCCTCAAGATGGCATCCACGCTTTAGAGTGACCATACTCTGTTTATATAGGGCTCTAGCAAGGTACATTCCGCGAGGCCCTCTGATAGCGCAAGAAGACGGATTTTATAAAATAAAAAGTAGTTGAAACTGTCAAATTTTTATTCATAAAAATGCAAATTATATTCTTTAACTAACATTAAAAAAATTTTAAAAAAATTGAAGAAACAGAAATTTCCTGCTTTTAGCCTTACTGAACTCCTTAATAATTGAATCGTAATTCAGCTTGGATGCTATATACGCTTCAAGAGATAAAACTGCCAAAGCTGAGTCTTTCCTGACCCATTGTATTTCTTAAATAAGTTTTTATTAGTTTTAATTTTGAAAAGTTCCTTTCAGCATAGGCAGTACTTACCGGTATTGTTAGCAAAATTCGAACGGCAATATAAATATTTGGGTAAATTTCTTTCAAGTTATTTTCTGTTATGTTAGAGCAGCTGTTTCACATCTTTAATGAAGTTGGGTAAATTTGGGATTATTGTTTGTAATTCTTCGTATAATTCGTAAGGTTGTAAATCACCGCTCTCACTCACTCGCAGGACTAAGTGTAAATCTTGACAGTTTTTTAATATTTTCTCTTTTGGAATATTTTTTAACTCGCTTAGATCATAGAGAAAACCAAAATTTTCAAAATGTTGATTTAAAGACATAAATCCCGAATCCATATTGCTTATTATAGGCTCAATCGTGGTGTTAAAAAAATCTGTTTCATACCCGCTTTTGGGAGACTGTATAGGTTGATCGCTGCCTTTATCATCGAACATCCTTTTCTTTTTGTCTACCCTTTCGTTTTTAAAGTCTTTTGGCAGTTCATAATTGCTATTCTCAATAAATTGACGAGCGTCAGACAAGTCTTTTTCGAATCCAGTTTGTCGATATTCTTTGATCCAGTCACAAAACGTATGCAAATGTTCAAGAGCATTGCTTAAATGGACTTATAAAGATTGCCATAATTTTCTTATGATATTAACACGCGATAATATCTCATACCATACATGTAATGATATGATAAATTCTAAACTGAGCATTTCGTTTAAAACCGAATCACAATCACTGAGTGTGTCTGATTGTTCGGTTTGATATTTTAAGCTTTCGATGCATTCAACGTTAAATTGCAATAATACGGCCTTCGCTGCCTCGATTCTGCTTTCTCACCTTGTGTCTGATAAAGGCTTCGTAGTAAGCTTTAATTTGCCTTTGATTAATTCCCAGCATTTGCTGGAACTTGAAAATAGCAAATAAACTTTCTCAATAAAACTAAAAAAAAAAGTTTTTGCTGCCACGGAAGAATTAGCTGCGTCTACTAACAGCATATTCCAGCTATGACAACCGCAAATTGTAAAAAATGCCCTGAGATTAATATTTAATATTCGAGTTTTAACTCCACTATTTACCGGATACTTTACTGCGATACTTTGATTGGCTTTCTAGCCGTTGAGAATCGTGAAAGTAACTTAAACAAACACAATGGGAAATGGCAAGAATTCCCTGCGATAGCAGTCCAACGCCAACAAATGTTGCTAGACTAAATAAAAATAAATTTGGTATGTCAATATATTTATCTTTTATGACGAGTAAAAGTTTTTCGTTGCGTTTACGGCTTTTATGTAATGTGTAAACCTTCGAAACGCGAGGCCCCTCGGACAGCGAGGCCGTACGCGGTGGCCCATGTCGCCCACGCCTTACTCCGCCTCTGTTAAGAGCAGACACTTTTAAGCAATTAACTGTTTGACAGTAGAAATTGTTTTCATTTGTATTGTGTGCTTTGTCTATATCAGGGATCGCCAAAGTGGTCTATATCGACCCCCAGGGGTCGATATAACATTATGGGGGGTCGATGAAAAGACTAAAACTTACAAATTTTGAACCGAATATTGCTGATCTTGCTAAGGATTATCAAGCTTATCCGTCTCATTGATTGTCAGTTACAAAAATTATTATTAACATATGTACAATAAATGTAAAAGATGTAAAATTAAAAGATATATATTAAAATAGTAAGAGCTTTTTTGTTTGCTTGTAACACAAACTTTTTGATGGGGGTCGACGATCAAAAAAGTTTGGCGGCCCCTGGTCTATATGAATCAACTGCTTGTTTTCACCTACTTACAGACTAGAGTTTTTTAAATCTCGTTTACATCCTACTTATTTCTTCGTATTATAATTTATAGTTTACGACACCGATTATAGGTGATGCCAGTAAAAAAAGCCACCTTCTAACAACAGAATAAAACTCCCGTATAAGTAAAAAAAGTAAACAATAAATTTGAATAATATATTCACAATACATGCAAACCCCACAGGCATTCAAAAATGGGCACTATTCGGAAACATTTATTTTAAATTCTGTTTTATCGATATTCTTCTAATTTTTTCGCGTTGAATCTTGCGTATCGAAAGTATTAATTAGTGTAGAACATCCCATTATTCTTATCCTTTCTTTAATAGTAGAGTTTGATCCACTTGCATAAAATGCATCTATTGTATTTTCAATCGTTCCTATGACAAAAGTTTTATACAAGCTGTGATCACATTTTAAGAAAAGTCTCTCGTCTAAACGAAAACTTAAATATTAGAAATTATTTTCAAGTTAAAATGATGACAATGGAATATATGTGAGAAAATATTGTTATTTTCTTATACTCTGCTTCTTCCACTGGCAAACAGACAATCGAAGCCACAATAAAAGGTTTCTTCAGTGAACTGTCCATTTTTCATATATAACATTGGATGAACTAATAGCAAGTATTTAATAAAGCTGTTTACGATCATTTTTAACTAGAAATTTTTTGTCATGTTTTCTTAAATTGGAACTGTACTGATTGTCCCAGTTGCCATTGATCCAAATGTTAATAATATTAATCTTTATATACATTCGCAAGCATATATTATACTACTTTCATCTACCACAATGGCTGACTACATCCACGATATCCACGAGTACGTGTTATGGTCGACATGATCAGCTTTTTCGGCACAGAGCTGTAAACACGTGTTTTAATCGACAACGACGGTAATTATCAAAATTTACCACACATTAAATATTATTTAGAATTTCGCGTACTTTACGATGGGAGAAGCCGCCAACAAGCAAAACATTAAGAAACGCCTTAACTCTATCCAACGAATCAGTTTAATATCGATAGCTAAAACATACAGAACAAGCCCGACGAACAAATTACAAGTAATTTCAAACATTCAACGAGTAGACCTAAAAGTTTTAAAAATATATTGGAAATAGCAACTTTTAGGTCATAGGACAAAGAGCATTCAAACTCCCATTGTTCATGCTTCCATGGAGGAACTTATAAAAGACATCCAGAACTACGGCCTAGACTCACTGCAAAAGACTATCCTGCTGAATTAAATACGGAAATTACCGAGGCAGTAACAGTAAATGACAAAACGTACAATGTGTTTACTGATGGGTCGAAATCTGCCGAGGGCGTTGGTGCGCAATAGTTAATAACGCCTCTGGAAGCATAATTTACCGAACCTTCTTCAAGCTAGAAGTGCAATGCTCAAACAACCAAGCCGAAAGTTTGGCTATTTTGAGGGCGTTGCAATATATCAGAGACAAGCCGATGTTCAGAAACAAGACAATACACATCATCAGCGAGAGCAAAGTGGCCCTAGCAAAAATCAGGAATCTACGCACAAAGTTAACTATAGTTCAAGAAACTAAAAACCTTCTGACGCTATTTAGAGGAAAAGGAATAAAAGTCCTCTTAAACTGGGTCAAAGGGCATGCTGGGATAACTGAAAACGAACGAGCGGACCTACTCGCAAAAAAGACGGCTAAGGCTGACATGCGCATCTCTTTCAACACCCTTCCATCGAGCATGGTCAAGTTCCAACAGAACACATCATAACGCAAATCTGGCAACAGAGGTGGGAAGCAGAATAAACAAACAGACTTTCCTTCCAATTTTTTTCAAGCATTCAGGACAGGAGGCACATTTCTTTTTACCATCGAAACTTTATTCCCACCCAAATTGTTACTGGGCACGGGTACTTTAATACATACCTGAAGCGTTTCCAGAACAAAGGGAATGGGAAGTGCCCTTGTGCCCTATCCGAGGATCGAGATGTTCAGCATATCATCATTTTGTGCACTAAATACAAACATGAAACAAATTTTAGCGAGTACTCCTTACGACCATGGTTTTCACTGGCCATGCCAGTTGAAAGCCTTTTTCACGAATCAAAAGACCCTACAGGCTCTTGAAAGTTTTATCAGAACTACAGACATTCTAAAGTATAACAGCTAGACAAAATATTGAGCGGTTCTTCTCTCGTTAGAGAGAGTTGTACATATACGTTTTGTTTTGGCCCATAGCAAGACAGCTGTTGGGGCCATTTTCTAATATACTGGCTGTATCGTACATACACGATTGTTTTTCTTTTGTTACCTCCTAAGCCATGGAGGGCTTTGTTTCTTTTTTCCCCAAGTGGGTTGTTCATATGCGTTTTGTGTGTTGAGTTCCAAAACAAGTTAGCCGTTATGGAGCTCCTACTGCCTCAAGTTACAGAGGCAGTTATTCTGTACACAACTGTATGTTTGTAATTTGTATTCATTGATGTTATACAATTGGCACTCGGTGGCGCTCTGAAGTCTCATGTTTCACACTTTCCTGTCATTCTTTTCTTTGCTTCATTCTTCTCACTTCTGCTATAACTCTCCGTATTTCCTTTTCCAAGGCCGTACCTATTGGTGGAGGCCTTCTAATCATTTGGTAAATGTAAAATGTACTTTACGATGATATTATTCTTTGTCCCCGCTTATCGACTTTTGAACATTAACGACAAACCTCTAGATGACGCCGGGTTGAAGGTCCTATAAGGAATTCTCGAACACATACGGACTTTTGGACTTTTATAATTTCCTTGCAATTTAATTTTGACCGTAATTACACGACGAAAATAAAGAAGAATAGGATTCATATGACCGAGTGACGTCGAAGCTCTGAAAATAATTCTGAAACGAACAAAGCTCTGAAAAATTCCTCGAATTACCAGTTTGAACTGAAAGAATAAATTATTGTTTCATCTCATAATTATTACTTTATTAACATAATAATACTACACTAATATTAATATTGAGTCGTGTTTGTTGTCAATTATATCTGAATACTTTAGTGTTTGTATTACATCATTATTATATAATAAAATTTCATGAATTGAAACTTTATACGTAGTAGTAACTGTGTTATTTATAGTGTAAATAGCAATTATTGAAATTCTAAGTTTTATTAATTTTAATACACGAATTTTGGTAGACGTCCTTTCATAAAATATATTTTGAAATGAATTTTATTAGTTTCTTGCAGTAAATCGAACTTTTAAAAAATGTTGCTAGTAAGTAAATTATTCTTTGATATTTCAATAAACTAGAAACTGGAGATATATTTATTCGCGGTTTATTATTTTTCTTTACTGTATTGTGCGTTTAAATTTCCTTAGCTTCTTAGACAATGTTTTTAGCTTTCGCAGTGAAATTCTAGACACATCAAACACAAGCACTATTCAATAATTAATTATTGTCGATTAGAGAATTAAAATAATAATATATGAAATTTGTACATAATGTTAGTTGAACATATCCCGAGTATTTCTCATACATTTTAGCTCCAAAAGAAAATACGATATAATAATTGATATATCAAGAAATTACTACTCCAGATGTCATCGAAATATAGCAGGAAATCATTTCTCAAGCATCCACTGATTCCAGACATATATTCCATTATCAACTTTTAAGAAAATGATAAGTTGCAATCCCTTTATACCCTTTGTATTTTCAAATATAAGCAAGATAATATTGATCTTGCCATTGCCATCGGCCTAGTGTAAAATCTTTTCTATAACAATACCAAACGTCGTTGAAGTGTACTTTCTGTCAAATATCTATGTATTATGTTCCCGCTTACTTATGGTTTTTATAAAAGTTCTACAACATTCGTTTCCCGTCACTGTATTGCAGTAGTTCAAACTGTGTCTCCTGAAAAACAAGGCTGAATATCATAATCTCTCTATAAGAATAGCTGACACTTGTAGAGGAGAATGTAAGCAGAAAATGTGTTTAAAATCTCATATATTACGAAATAGATAAGATAAACTTGTTAGATCTTTTTTTGCTTTTAAAACTATTGTTCGAAGAATATACCTAAACCTGGAAGACATTTAAGACATTAAAGAATGGCGAAAATTCAATAAAAATGCAACACCAACCAAAGGGAGATTTTTTTATTTTTATTTAAATGGTTGCTAATTACTATTTACAATAATTAAATAGAATTTTAAAAAGATCAAACGAAAAATATAATCACGATATTTTTTTATCAAGTATAGTGATTACAACACGGCAAATTATACTCATTTTTTAATTCACGTGCAGCTTTCATTGAAGAAGTTATTAATCTTTTGTTCTCAGGCAAGGGAGAAGTAAATTTCCAAGCCTGCGAAGAACGTATCTGAAGACGTCCATGCATCTTGTCTCCTTCTAAACAAAGGTTATAAAAGATTTTCATACATCAACAATCATAAGACTCATTTTAAAATATATTGTATATAATTAGTGAAATTATATATAAAATTTTAAATTTACTTAAATCTAAAAAGATAATAAATAATTCCAAATTAATAAAACAACTCAAATATACAGTTTTAAATTATTTGTTTAATTTTTTTAGAGTAAACCAAATTTAAATAAATAAAAACGAAAAGTTAATTATTGCAAAATTATTGCAAATAGGCTAAATGAAATCACATGATCACAAATGGTTGATTTAATTCAGTTGAAAATTTGCTATATGAAAAGCAAAAACTGTTATATGGAGGTATCACTAAAACAATAAATAAACGCGAAAATTCAATGGAATTTATGAACATTTCCAAACGCACTTTAATTAAATTCGATTATTTGAAATTTGCTGATTATAATTAGTAACATCTTTAAATGATAACACTTTCAATTCTAATNTACTTTGCTGGGATTTTTGAACGAAGAATATTCATCTACAATGTTTTCGCAATCGGAAGCAGGTAATTCGTCAAAAATTTCATCCATTTTGTTTGTTGAATTTAATTCGAATGATTTCACATGAACAGGAGTCGACTCTAATTCACATCTTTCATAAACAGACAAATGATATTGATCCATTATTATAATTTCTTTCACATTACAGTTGTCAAATACATCGTTTCTGTTTATGTTATCAGAAATTCCGTTTTCAATTGATATGATATCTGATTCCAATTCATTTTTTGTTATTTCTTGACTTGTATCAGATAATTCTTTAATTAAATTTTCTTCAATTATTTTTCTAGAATTATCCATCGAAGATAATTCGTCTGCAAGGTTTTTGTCATTTTTCGCAAGTAATTCGTCACAAATTTCGTACATTTCTGTTGATAAATCAGATTTGTCTGATTCGACATCAACAGAACTCGATGTTGGGCTGATAAATACTGATTCACATGTTTGGTGAACTGGCAAATAATCTCGAATTATTATAATATTTTGATACGTAGTACAATCGTTGGATACTTTGTTTCTGTTTATGGTATCAGGAACGTCATCTTCAGTTGACATCGTATCTGATTCCGTGCTATAAGACAGATCATCAGATGTTTCCGATAGATCGTCTTCATAGTTAAGCTCGTCCTCTTCATATATTACATCACATACTAACGAATTTTCTTCCAGATCCAAAAACGCTCTATATAACGGTCGTATTGTATAACCGCCGTTTACAATCGATGTGATTTGTGCTGAAGACAGTGGAGTTTCTGGCACGTTCTTCTGAAAATGAGATTTCGAATTATTTTTTAAACATTAATTGAAGTTTAATTTAATAAACATTTAACAGTTTTATTCTAAACTAATGACTAAGCAAATTTAATATGCTCCTAGTCACCATAAAATAATTGAAATTCTCATGGGCAATATATTACTGATATTGTATGTATTAACCTACATTAATAAAAAAAATTAAAATACGATGCGCAATAATAAATTTATTTTTATTGTTTTTCTGTCTGTTTAACGAATCATCTTTGCATATTTTATTAAAAATTACTTGTTTTGCATTAAGAATCCTTAGACATGAAACGTTTAATCATTGATATTTCTATGCGAATGAGAGTATTGGTATATAATTTATTATTCACATCATGTAAATATATTTTTCAAACTTGATATTTTTATTCACTTTAATCTACGAGTTGAGATGATTCTGTTTTAATAACTGCTTTCATGTCAAAGTTAATTGATAAATGTTTTGTTATTCTTACAAGCACTCATTACAGGAGATATTTTATATTTTAATAACATATTAACTTTAAAAATAAAAGAGGGAGTACAACCATATAATAGTACATAAGTAATGTATATGGAATTAAATATCAAATAGGATCGTATTTTTAATAATATTTAATACGATAATAACGTATATTTATCAATATTCAATGTTTTAATTTCAGAATTAAGAAATTTTCTGAAATGATTTTAATTAAACTTCAACTTACAATAGGAGGTTGTTTTGTAGCATCGAGTTCACAAGAAGTTTCTTCACTTGTGCTGTTTGTAATTATATTTTCAGACACTTTTTCGTCTTTGTCGTCTTTTAAGTCTTTCTCTGAATTACATTCGGCAGAACTGCCATGTTCTAAGTGAGTTTCGTAATTTTGAGTTTGATCAGGATCTTTCACTTGAAACTCAGAAACTAAAGAATAGAAAAGCATGAAAAATAATTTAGTAAATCAGTTTAGGAGAATACAAGATTTATATAAGCAATAAAGTTGGATAAATGAAAGAAAAACTGAAATTGTATACATCGAGTAAATATATCAAATCAGTTCTTATCGTAGCTGTTTTTGAAAATTATTTGAGAATATTCAACTTTTTGTGTGTATTATTTTTATAATTTTAAAGCACGGCTAAGGATAAAACATTATTCGCATATATCATTCATATTCATTATATTACGTTGTGTTATGTGTAAATGCATTATAATAGTATGAAGTATCATAGTAATGATTGTTCATGCAATGTTCAAATAAAATAGTTAGCTGTTTAGTAGTTCGTTATATAGAAAGCTCAACAAAATTCATTAGTACATTCTGAGAAAAAAGATATGAACATCTGTTAATCTGAAACGTGCGTTACAAAACTGTGTTATAAAAATTTGTTGTTTGTGAAAATTCATTTTGTTAATGTTAAATTAGATGTTTTGATCCTAATTTGTTAACAAAATTTTTAAAATTTCTATATTCTTCAAAACTATTCTCAAAATGTTTTGAATGAACTTTATTCTTTATTAAAATTATCATGGAAAAAAAGCTAAATAAACATTATCTAGCATAACTAGAAAGGGGTCAAAACAATGCTTACATTTTTTTATAGAGAAATAAAGGGATATCATGAAAAAAAGGTATGTTTACTTAATACAAGTATTGTCAGACATGTTGTTATACGGTTATTTAATATCTGTAGTTTACATATTTTATTTATTTATAAATCATATCTAAAACTTTCATGTTTAATGTATAGTTGTGCTTTAATTTTTTATAAATCTGCTAAACGGCCTAACTGCAAAACCATCCCCAGCTGTTAACAGACCTCTACGAACAACCAACATAACCAAGGAGATGATAGGTCATAGAGTTCTCGATACCTCTTTCTGATACTTATGCTATCGATTTATTACTTTTTTATTTCTTAATTCTCCTTTTAATCATTTAAATCAGTTTTTAAGATTTTTCAATTAAACTTTTATACACATTATGGCTTAGACTAATAACGCTAGATGCAAGCAACCACCACTGAGATGCAGCCTCGGCTTATCCTTATTTATTACTAGTTCTGCAAATATTTATATAGAATACAGCTGTTCGTGTAGTTGTGTAAATATTAATTTATTTCTATGGCTTTGTTAGAAGAATGTTATTGATAAAATTTACCTTTAAGTTGCTGATGACGCGTTTCTGATGAAATATGTGACTTTGGTTCTAATGGATTTTCAGAATTATGAGCTGTAGACTCATATTTGAGAAATTCTGTTTGTTCCACGTTTCCGGGAAGTTCATATTGCAGCTTTCCATTTTCGGTAGATTCTGACACTTCAGTTGGCGGCGAATAATGCTGAAGTTCTACCGGCTGCTGATAGTCATACATATTTATTTCTGGAAACAGCCAATATTCAGTTAAATTTTGTTGCTGCCCATAATCAATCATTTCTGAGGCTTGCCAATTTTCGTTCATAGTAGGTTGTTGTTCAAATCTATTATTTTCTGGAACTGGCATATATCCATTTATACTTGGTTGAGTTCCATCTGCAAAAATTTCTGCAGCTGTCCAGTGTTTATTTATATCTGGATGCTGACCATATTCAAATACTTCTGGGGTTGGCCAATGTTGATATATATCGCAATATGTTTCATATCCTGTATTTTCTGGAGCTGTCCTATATTCATTTATAACCGGAGAAGCTCCATATTGAACATTTTCTGCAGCTGGCTTATGTTCATTTATATCGGAATATGCCCCATATCCAATAGTTTGTGGATCTAACCAACATTGATTTATGTCCGAATACGCCCCATATTCAACATTTTCTGGATATGTCCAATATTCACTTCCATATGGCAGTTGCCCACATTCAGTTACTGCTGGCGCTGACATATATTCATTAATATCTGATTGAGGGCCATATCCATTATATTCAGGAACTTGCCAATATACATTTATAACTGGATAAGCTCCATATTGAACATTTTCTGCAGTTGGCATATATTCATTTGTATTAGAATATGCTGCATATCCCTCATTTTCTGAACTTGTCCAATATTCATTTCCATAGGGCAGTGGCCCACATTCAGTTACTTCTGGCGCTGACATATATTCATTTATATCTGTTTGAGGGCAATATTCACTACATTCAGGAACTTGCCAATATCTATTGATAACCGGATAAGCTCCATATTGAACATTTTCTTCAGTTGGCATATATTCATTTATATTTGAATATGCTCCATCTCCAATAGTTTGTGGATCTGGCCAACATTGATTTATATCCGAATACGTCCCATATCCAACATTTTCTGGATCTGTCCAATATTCACTTCCATATGGCAGCGGCCCACATTCAGTTACTTCTGGCGCTGACATATATTCATTAATATTTGATATACAGCCATATCCATTATACTCAGGAGCTTGCCAATATCCATTTGTAACCGGATAAGCTCCATATTGAACATTTTCTGTAGGTGTCATATATTCATTTACATTGAAATATTCTCCATATTCAACGTTTTCTGGACCTGTCGAATATTGATTTCCATACGGCAGTGGCCCACATTCAGTTACTTCTGGCGCTGACATATATTCATTTCTATCTGGTTGAGAGCCATATCCACTAATTTCTGGGAGCGGCCAATATCTAGTCGTTTCTGCTTGTCTTTCATTTTCGGCTATTTCAGGAGACGACCAATAAGGCGTGAATTCTGATAGTGGCCGATATTCAAATTCACTCACTTGAGGTTCATACTGCTGATATACTGGCAGTATTCCACTTTGTGAAAAGTCTGTAGTCGGCCCATATTCAGGCATTTCTGACCACAAATCATATGGCACAAAGAATAATGTATACTGAAATAACAGAAAAGAAATTGCTCATTAATAAAAATTTTCTTTTCTTTCGTATCTGAAGTTTATATATGTAATAATCTAACAATATATGTCAACAACATTAAATTAAATGTTAGTTATTCATTTTAGAAAGAAATATAAGATAATAATAGTATTCAAAATAACTTAAACTGATTAAAATTAACTCATTTTTTAAAATTTATTTAAATACAATTAATAATTGTTTTAATATAAAGTGTACTTATATAAAGGTATAAAATATCAACTGTCCCATTTTTCATTTTAATTAATGAGAATAACATTAATATATTACACATATGATTCAACTTTGTACTTTCAAGTTGAGAAAATTTCTTCCAAACTTCTCAGATATTGTTTAATTATTTTTTAAAGTAAATTTAACTTTAAGTCAGGTATATGTCTACTGAAAAGTGTAATAATTTTATGTCCGAAATAAAATGTGATTTGGAATAATAGAAAGATATTATTCTGTATATTTACACACGTGTTCATTAATCTAATGTAAAAGAAAATTGAACTTTGGAAATAAATCTTGCATCTTTTTTGTACAAGAAATAATATGAAAGCAGAAAATTTTACGAATAAATATGCATTTTTTCCCCCAATTCATTCTAATTTCTAAAGAAGTTTTTATTTTATATCATATTCAACACCGTATTAATTAAATCTATTTACTTCATTATGACTTACGGCAATTATTAGCATTAATTGTAATTTTCTCTGTTTTCTATTACGAAATTTTACAAAGACAATCAAATAATTCTAGAAAAGGGTTTTGAATATGGGACACAACTTATAGTTGCTCCTTTTTGTTAATCCAAGTCTTAAATTTAAATGAAATTCATTCAAAATGATTAAATCATTTAAATTTCTTTGTGTTTCTTGTTTTTATGANTTTATTCACTTTAATCTACGAGATGAGATGATTCTGTTTTAATAACTGCTTTCATGTCAAAGTTAATTGATAAATGTTTTCTTATTCTTACAAGCACTCATTACAGGAGATATTTTATATTTTAATAACATATTAACTTTAAAAATAAAAGAGGGAGTACAACCATATAATAGTACATAAGTAATGTATATGGAATTAAATATCAAATAGGATCGTATTTTTAATAATATTTAATACGATAATAACGTATATTTATCAATATTCAATGTTTTAATTTCAGAATTAAGAAATTTTCTGAAATGATTTTAATTAAACTTCAACTTACAATAGGAGGTTGTTTTGTAGCATCGAGTTCACAAGAAGTTTCTTCACTTGTGCTGTTTGTAATTATATTTTCAGACACTTTTTCGTCTTTGTCGTCTTTTAAGTCTTTCTCTGAATTACATTCGGCAGAACTGCTCTGTTCTAAGTGAGTTTCGTAATTTTGAGTTTGATCAGGATCTTTCACTTGAAACTCAGAAACTAAAGAATAGAAAAGCATGAAAAATAATTTAGTAAATCAGTTTAGGAGAATACAAGATTTATATAAGCAATAAAGTTGGATAAATGAAAGAAAAACTGAAATTGTATACATCGAGTAAATATATCAAATCAGTTCTTATCGTAGCTGTTTTTGAAAATTATTTGAGAATATTCAACTTTTTGTGTGTATTATTTTTATAATTTTAAAGCACGGCAAAGGATAAAACATTATTCGCATATATCATTCATATTCATTATATTACGTTGTGTTATGTGTAAATGCATTATAATAGTATGAAGTATCATAGTAATGATTGTTCATGCAATGTTCAAATAAAATAGTTAGCTGTTTAGTAGTTCGTTATATAGAAAGCTCAACAAAATTCATTAGTACATTCTGAGAAAAAAGATATGAACATCTGTTAATCTGAAACGTGCGTTACAAAACTGTGTTATAAAAATTTGTTGTTTGTGAAAATTCATTTTGTTAATGTTAAATTAGATGTTTTGATCCTAATTTGTTAACAAAATTTTTAAAATTTCTATATTCTTTAAAACTATTCTCAAAATGTTTTGAATGAACTTTATTCTTTATTAAAATTATCATGGAAAAAAGCTAAATAAACATTATCTAGCATAACTAGAAAGGGGTCAAAACAATGCTTACAATTTTTTTTTATAGAGAAATAAAGGGATATCATGAAAAAAAGGTATGTTTACTTAATACAAGTATTGCCAGACATGTTGTTATATGGTTATTTAATATCTGTAGTTTACATATTTTATTTATTTATAAATCATATCTGTGTTTCATTATTATACATTGAAATCGAATGTATAATTCTCTAATTAAATCTAAACGCTTATTTCATTAAACACATATCTACGGAAAGTTTAATGACTTAACAACAAATAAATATTAGTTAAATAAATACTATAATTTCGTAAGTAAAGTATATCCAGCAATATCGATAAATAATATAATTTAGATAGAGTAAATATACAATAACATTTCTCTCAGTGAATAAAACTGCTGATATATAGAAAGAATTAAGTTATAATAACAAAAACAAAAACACTGAGTTCGGCGTTACATGCGTTTTTTTATCGCTAGTACTTTCAACGAGCTTATTGTCGTCGTCCTCAGGCGAATACAGAATATTTACCAAAAAATTTAAACAAAAAATACTCGAATACAAATAGAACGCATAAGATAAATTGAAATTATGTTAAAGCCATTAAGAACACGTAGTAAATATTTAAACATAATTCGAAAGCCGAACGAGCAGATAGCTCCGTGAAGTGCGAGCTGGCGCATGCGCAGAGCCATGATCACGCTACATGCATACTAGAGACTACGAATACTCGCTTAATCGCTTATACAACGTGACCCATACACTAGGCAGCTTGAGCGTATGGGTGTTGCAAGTGTCCAAGGTGGTAGTGAGGAGAGATTCCCATATAAAAACAGTTTTTCGATCCTTGCAGCTCTTGAGCATAACCGCTTGGGACCATAGCGGGTTGTAACCCTGCTCAAGTACCTTTTTTGCGAGCTCGGTGGTGTGTCTTCCCCTCATAACATCGTCTTGGTGCTCATCAAGGCGGCAGGAAAGCATTCTAGTAGTGGCCCCGATATATCTTGTGTTTACTCCCGTTGCCTGATTTTTCAACGGTACAGCATAGACCCCCGACTTCTCAAAAATGGAAAATTTGTCTCTATCATTACAAATAAGTTTGCGTAGGCTTGGAAGTGGGGTTAAAGGTAGTACAAGGTTGCGCTGCTTAAAGATTCTGCAGATGCGTAAAGATATGGGTCCAAGGTAAGGCAACGCTACTTGAACCTTTGAAGACTCTCTTTTGCTGCATAAAGTAGTACTTGGAAACAGTGCTTTCTTTACCTTATTGAGCACATGCGTAAACTTTGCATGTAACGCCGAACTCAGTGTTTTTGTTTTTGTTATTATATATTAATTTGGCGTGTTAGTCATCCTATTGTTTACTAAGAATTAAGTTACAATTTATGGATTAAATACTAAAACTTTCATGTTTAATGTATAGTTGTGCTTTAATTTTTTATAAATCTGCTAAACGGCCTAACTGCAAAACCACCCCCAGCTGTTAGCAGACCTATACGAACAACCAACATAACCAAGGAGATGATAGGTCATAGAGTTCTCGATACCTCTTTCTGATACTTATGCTATCGATTTATTACTTTTATATTTCTTAATTCTCCTTTTAATCATTTAAATCGGTTTTAAGATTTTTCAATTAAAATTTTATACATATTATGGCTTAGACTAATAACGCTAGATGCAAGCAACCACCACTGAGATGCAGCCTCGGCTTATCCTTATTTATCACTAGTTCTGCAAATATTTATATAGAATACAGCTGTTCGTGTAGTTGTGTAAATATTAATTTATTTCTATGGCTTTGTTAGAAGAATGTTATTGATAAAATTTACCTTTAAGTTGCTGATGACGCGTTTCTGATGAAATATGTGACTTTGGTTCTAATGGATTTTCAGAATTATGAGCTGTAGACTCATATTTGAGAAATTCTGTTTGTTTCACGTTTCCGGGAAGTTCGTATTGCAGCTTTCCATTTTCGGTAGATTCTGACACTTCAGTTGATGGCGAATAATACTGAAGTTCTACCGGCTGCTGATAGTCATACATATTTATTTCTGGAAACAGCCAATATTCAGTTAAATTTTGTTGCTGCCCATAATCAAGCATTTCTGAGGCTTGCCAATTTTCGTTTATAGTAGGTTGTTGTTCAAATCTATTATTTTCTGGAACTGGCATATATCCATTTATACTTGGTTGAGTTTCATCTGCAAAAATTTCTGCAGCTGTCCAGTGTTTATTTATATCTGGATGCTGACCATATTCAAATACTTCTGGGATTGGCCAATGTTGATATATATCGTAATATGTTTCATATCCTGTATTTTCTGGAGCTGTCCTACATTCATTTATAACCGAAGAAGCTCCATATTGAACATTTTCTGCAGCTGGCTTATGTTCATGTATATCGGAATATGCCCCATATCCAATAGTTTGTGGATCTAACCAACATTGATTTATGTCCGAATACGCCCCATATTCAACATTTTCTGCACCTGTCGAATATTCACTCCCATACGGCAGTGGCCCACATTCAGTTACTTCTGGCGCTGACATATATTCATTAATATCTGATTTAGGGCCATATCCATTATATTCAGGAACTTGCCAATATTCATTTATAACTGGATAAGCTCCATATTGAACATTTTCTACAGTTGGCATATATTCATTTGTATTGGAATATGCTGCATATCCGACATTTTCTGGACTTGTCCAATATTCATTTTCATACGGCAGTGGTCCACATTCAGTTACTTCTGGCGCTGGCATATATTGATTTATATCTGTTTGAGGGCAATATTCACTATATTCAGGAACTTGCCGATATTCATTTAAAACCGGATAAGCTCCATATTGAACATTTTCTGTAGGTGTCATATATTCATTTACATTGGAATATTCTCCATATTCAACATTTTCTGGACCTGTCGAATATTGATTTCCATACGGCAGTGGCCCACATTCAGTTACTTCTGGCGCTGACATATATTCATTAATATCTGATTTAGGGCCATATCCATTATATTCAGGAACTTGCCAATATTCATTTATAACTGGATAAGCTCCATATTGAACATTTTCTACAGTTGGCATATATTCATTTGTATTGGAATATGCTCCATATCCGACATTTTCTGGACTTGTCCAATATTCATTTCCATA